TGGGGGTTCGAAACTCATAATGAGTTTTGGGTCCCTTTTCGGCCTTCCAAATCTCATAATGAGTTTTGGGTCCTTTTTGGAGTTTCAATACACATGAAGAGAGCACAGTATGTATGTCGCCACGATCAAGCGTCTTTGCCATAGAAAAACACTCACTATCTTGAAGTCGCATTAAGTATATTAAAGTTTGCAGGATGTTGCCTTCTCATTTGCGCTTTATTACTAAGTAATTTAATCTCATTAGCGCAGCGTAATCCGTGACAGCTTCACCAATGGTAGAGAACTGGACTTTACAGATCGAACTCATGAGAATTGTTAAAACTTCATCTATTTGTATGATTTACCAAGATTGTATCGATTTTTCACTACCGAAAACAGTCCAGTTTATATCATCCAGAAGATCAAGTGCGGTACATAGGTAATATAGAGTGTCCATGCGCATGCAGCAGTGGAAATGGTATTCTCATATTGATTTGCCCAGTAGCGGGAACATGTTTACTAGAAAATTAGACGGGTGGTCAATGTTTACCCAGTGGCAAGTAAATGTTTACTAGAAAATTAGACGGTTGGTCAATGTTTACCCAGTGGCAAGTAAATGTTTACTTGTTGATCGGGGGTCAATTTTTACCCCGTGGAAAGTAAATGTTTACTTGTTGGCAAGTAAATGTTTACTTGTTGACGGATATTTGGACTGGACAGGCGGAGTGCTGTGATAGGTTGCAATACTTTGAGTTTTTCAAGAAATTCAATGGCTTCTTTTGCCCCTACTGTAATTGAGTTTATTGAGAATTGTATTAAAATCACGGTGCATATCGCGTATGATAAAAAACTTTATTTACAACCAGGGAGAACCCGCGGTGGAGATGGTCTAAACAAGATTGAAACCCACATAGTACTGTACGTACTGTATCCCTGACCCATGACTGATTTGCTGCAGCTTACGGCATGTAATGTGCCAATTCCTCGGATCAGTCCATGCTGTCTTAAAGGAGGCCCTGAGGGCCTCCTTTAAGACAGCATGGACAGCCATGTTTGGATGTATATGTTTGCGATTTTCAAAATATTACATGTCCAATAATTTAATGTATTGTGTCAGCGCGCCGTGATCCGTAAATTGGCTCAAGGGGTGCATCATACCGGGCTATCGATAGGGAAGCGAACGGTCTTTCTGAGCAGTGATGCAAGGAAGTGGCTGCAAAAAAGCCGCAAATCTCATTATCTTACAGTGCCTGGTTCGATATAGTGCCGTTTTCGGCCCACTGACAGAGGGAGGCACTATATCGCGATCCCCGTGTACTGGCATTCAGGGACGTCAATAAAATGATTCAATTGAATTTTAATGTATGCTAAATTGGATCAAGATTGAATTCAATCGCACTTATGCGGTAGGCGACAGCCAATGGTGTGCTCTCGTATGGCACGTTGGTAGCGACAGATTCCATTATTTTAACTTTGTGTGCGCTATCATACTGTTAAGAAAAGTATTAAATGGACCAATCAGGTGCACGCTGACGTCCATACATGTCCAAACATGCCCGTCCATGCTGTCTTAAAGGAGGCCCTCACAAGTTGGCCACTTTCGCAAACTTACATCGCAGAGTACGACACTACGACACTAAAACAGTACCGTAGAATGATGCAGGATGAGAAAATACTGTCGGCATACAAAAAGAAAGCGATTTCGTGTCCCTCTCTATTCGTTGCACATGATTCATCCCGGTATCGTATCCACGAGTCTTTCACGCCGAAGCGACACCCCCTCTCAAAAGATAGGCGAGTCCTGGAGACATTTGTATGCCCTTCTCACTATTAGTCTGTACCACTTAATTTCGCATTGGACACTTCGTTGATTCACCTCGCTTCAAGTAAGCCTCCCTCTAACAAATCGCTGTCTACAGCAGCTTGCTCGTAGTCGGCTATCGAAAAGCTTCGACTGCTCTGCTTTACAGATAGAGTCTTAAACATTACATGACATGAATTCGTCGTCGGCACCAGTGTGGTTATTGGCCTGCTGTTGTGGAGAGCCTCGCATTAGTACAAACAACTGTTCTAACAGCATTTTGAGAATCTGTTCAAGTTCATAGTCCATCGAGTTCCCTTCCGCCCACTGCTCCAGAATCTGCTCCCACAAGGCATACGAACTGATGCAGGTGGTCTACGGAATGGAAGAAACAATGCGTCAGGGCGTATTCAACCCCCAGTTCCTCCGAAGGACCTCGTCAGCATCACAAAGTGACCCTCAATTTCCTTCGCGTTCCATGTAGTCCATGCCAGGGAGCGCGCTTACCAAAAGTTTTTGTTCACTATTTCTATCTGATATCAATTATCTCTGATTCTGCTGTGTTTTCCGTTGTCTGTCTATTAGTGTATGCAAAATGCGTGCAAAGATAACAGGCGAAAGCAGTAGGAAAGAGCAGTGGACATTGATAGAACAGTGGATAAAACGGGGATGAGGGTCATTCGTCACCTGGAATTAGTGAATGTTTAAAGATTCAAAAATGACCGATAGTGGCATGAACGTGATGGGTGTTCATCGAATGGACTTGCGTAACGTATGCAGCGGTAGGTCAGCCAGGGTATAATAGGACTGAACAAAAAGATAGATTGGGGAAGGACTGGCGATCTGGCCAGGGGGCGAGTGTGCAAAAGACGAGAGCGTGTGGTGACAGAGAATCGAAGTTTAAACAAAACGGATATATTCGGGCAGAGCAACTGGTGCCAAGTGAGATGAGTACCAAACAAGATGGTATGGTTCCACGAACGCGCCTGTATCCATGCCATCTGCAGTTACAGTGGCCGTGCCATGCCTCTGGGAGCTTTTATGACTTCCCTTCAAAGAACCTGGCATCGTACACTGTTTCTCGCATCTCAGTCGTTGAGGGATAGCAGTGAAGAGTGACGCTCCTTGTTGTGTGTGTATCCTTCGGTGTCGAGCCCTATACTTGAATGAATTCCTGGTCTGCTTTTCACAAATTCTGGTTTTCTATTTCTGGCTCTAACCCTGCAGAGCGCCCCCGATACTGCGCAGACGATACCCACCGCAGACTTCGGCCAAGGCTACTAGCAGATTCCATGACCGGTCCGGGAAATAAGTGGAAGGATAATGGGCAGACGTTGCAACTGTCTGGGCTGTGGCACAAGCACCACCAGGCCAGTACCCTAAGCATGTGTGAAATTCGTGCAATTTGCGTAGTCTTGAAAAACAAAAACCTACTGTACGTGCTTGTGTTAAAAGATATTGACATTCCGGACGCAGTTTCTTTCCAAAGGCGCACTAAACGAGGAAGATATCACCCCTGGAAGGATTTGAGGGATATCCGTGATTTAAAGGTCCCGAAGACACAGTCTTCCATGCTGGCCTTGAGTTTCTTAATCTAGTTGGCAGCACAGAGCAGTATCACTAAGACACACCCCGATATGCGCAGCTCATTTTGTGAGAGCCCTAAATCCAGTCCTAATCTGCAATTATGCGTTTAATAACATATCGACCTACTTTCGCTTCCGCCTGGAGGGCCTCTTCACTCGAATGGGTACGCCCTCGAACCCAAACTCTTTCCGGATCGCATTGGTAAGGGATCTCAAATAATTCATAGAGACGGCAGACGACCCGTCAAGACGAAACATGGGCGGTCTAATCTTCTTCTGCGAGATGAATTTTGTCACGCCGATCCGGTTGCGTTTCTCTCCATCAATTCGACCTCCGACACTCAGCCTTTCGTTAAAGTTGGCAACAAACCGATTCAGAGCCGATGTTGGAACCCGTTTTTCCCATCGCTCTCTAGATTTCTGCACAGCCCAGAACAACCGCCTCATCTGTGCATCTCCATCGCTCCAATCTTTTGCCGATATTTCCACCACCTCCACCCCTTGCAGGGCATGCACCTTGCTGTCAATCGCATATCTCAATGATTCTCTCCAAGAATCCATGTTATCGACATGGAGTTTGTCCATCTTGTTCACTACGATGACGACCGCCCTCCCTTCAGTAATCGCCACGTCTATCAATTTCATGTCTTGATGCGCAAGGGGATTTGTAGAGTCCAGCACGATCAAAACGACATGCGAATGGCGCAACGCACGAAGGGACGACCGCACGCTTGACCGTTCCAGGTTCTCCGTCTCCACTTTAACACGAGCACGGATCCCAGCGGTATCAACCAACCAGACTGGCACGTCGTCCGGTCGAGAAATGTTTTCCGGCAGCTTCCACTCGCACAGGACAGAGTCCCGCGTAATGCCGGCAACCGGTCCAGCGATTGACTTTTCCTCTCCAACCAGTCGATTCAATAGAGTAGACTTTCCTACGTTAGGCCGTCCAATTATGGACACGATAAGCTGGCGCAGCGGCTCTTCGCCGACTTTTTGTCCATAGCCAAGCACAAGTTCATCATCGAATGACTCTCGAAGTTCGTCATTCTCGGTTCTCTCAGTCCCCTCCGCATCGACTAATTGTGCTGGCGCGGCATTGCCCTGCTTTCCGCGATTCATATAGACACGATTGATTTCCGTGTAGAGATCTGCCAGACCTAGTTTATGTTCGGCCGACAACACGACAGGATCACCAAAGCCCAGCTCGTATGCTTCTATGGCATTGTTCTCAGCGCCGGCAACGTCGCACTTATTTGCGACGACCACGATATCTTTCTCCGAAGCTTCCTTCCGTAGCCATAGCGCTATCGCGCGATCGACTTGTGTCAAGCCATGGGCGGCGTCAAACATGAAGAAGACGACGTCGGCATCCCGGACTTCAGCCGCTGTCCCCGCTTCCATCTTGCGATACAAATTGCGATACACCGGTGTATCGGTCATAGCCGTCGCTGCCACAAGGGTGACCTCGCCGTCTGCGCGCGGCTCTGCTTTCCTCTCCAGGGCCTCCGAGACGGCATCCTCCAGGCCGGCGGTGTCAGTGACAGTGAAGCGGAGATCGGATATGGCAGCCGAGGCCTCGCGCGGGTCGCGGGTAACGCCCGGCAGCGCGTGCACGACGGAGCGAACAAAGACCAGCGGAGCGGGGTTGGACACGCCGTCCGTGCCGCGGCCGCGCACAGCCGAGGCCAGCTGGTTGAAAAGAGTGGACTTGCCGACGTTGGGCCGGCCCACTAGGGCGATGCGAAGACCGGTGTCGACGTACACTGTGGGGGCGGGGGCATTTCGACTGGGGCGCGCGATGGGAGCTACTCGCGCACGCCGCGAGGACGAGTGGGCTTGACGCAGCGGAGTGTGCGCCCGCGTCCACCGCCAGGACGGGCGGTGGCTCAACAGCCGGATCAGAACGGTGCGCATGCAAGACGCAACAGGGTTTGACAGGTCATGAGCGCCCCCAAGTCATACAAGGTAAGGTGAGTCGTGCGGAGGAGGAGAGTTGATGATCGATGAGATGGGACGTCGTGTAAAACAAAGAGGAGGCTGATCAATGATTCTTGAAGTTTTTGGAATATATTCTTAATGCCGTGATCCGCATGATGCTCCTTGGGCTATACTGTAGAAAAGCAGGAAAGCAGGATCTAAAATCTTTCTAAACAGTATTTCGCTTCAGGCGAGCTGAGGAGGCCTGCTACAGATTGCGGGCGAGACGGGGCGAAGACTGCGGGCGAGAAGGGGCGAAGACTGCGGGCGAGAAGGGGCGAAGTAGCTACAACTCTCTACTGTGGCACCACCTCATCTTCTTCTTCAAGCTTCTAGCTTCATCTTCTTCCTCAAGCTTCTAGCTTCATCTTCTTCCTCAAGCTTCTAGCCAGTGCTGCGGTGGTGCACAAAATTTTGCTCGAAGGACCACACCATATCAGCGCGCTGAGACAGTCGATTTCACATGCTGGTCTAGCTCCTAGACATAAACATATCTCAACGTTCTATTTCATGCTGTTCAAAACTTGCTTGTGCTTGTTCACGCAGTCCGTCGAGCAATACTTGTACGCCAACCGCGAAAAAGGGGTCAGTCCTTGTAAGCTCTTCTTGCATGATGCGCATTTGTTCCCAAGAAACCTAGCCTCAGCTGCCGCGGCTCGAAGCTCTCGCGCACGTTGTTCAGGAGTCTTCGCCTTTTCTCTCGCCTTATCCTTTTTCTTTTCACGCTCCTTCCGTCTCTTTGCACGCTCTCGCTCCGCCATCTCCTCCACCTCGGCCTCCGTCAACGGGCCAGGAATACCGGCCGTCGCGTAGTCGTACTTCGAGGGGTGCCGCCCCCAATAAGTACGCAGCGCAAGCCGAACTGCTTTTGGTTTTGCAGACACATATGGGGAGGCCCCAATCGCTGGGGATACACCGTGATCCAATAGAGCTTCTACAACGTCCGCATGTCCACAGACGGCACACACACCAATCAGTCCAAGAGCACCCTCGACCTTTTCAAACCTCGCATCAGAAGGGAAGTAGTGACACTCAAACACAATTGACTTGATCGCGTCATCACTACTCAGCGCATCTACAAGCTCCTGTCGAGCACCTTCGCAGCATAGACTGAAGAGTCGCGCAGTCTCAGGATCAATAACCGGCAAGTCCTCCCTTTTCTCCGTCTCTTCACTGATTTTCGCAACTTTCTTTTCTGATTCCTCCCTCTTTTTGAGATGATCTGTTCCCTTCTCTTTCGGTCCCTTGTCAACTGGCGTACTCACCTGCTTCGGAGCTTTCGGCATGGGCGCGGGTTTCGCCTTCTCCAGCAACTTCTTTGCCTCTACTGTAGCAGCTAATGAAGTTGACGAGATTCGGACCGAAGACAACTCTTCGTAAACCCGCTTCGCTTCTTTTAACGTCGCCCTTCTTGTAGGGAGCGGAATATTCCGAAGCGCATTCCGTGCCTCCGCGGTTTCCAACGGGCTTCCATTCCAACCGAATAATAAATCCTATTGATAATGTAGAATCAAACAGCGATATGCGCAACAGACCCATCGTGATGTTAGCAACGCCATCGCAAACGAAAAAACAAACAAACAGACCTACTTCTCAACAGGGCGCCCGCGAAAGTCCTGAAACGTACCCTTTTCTCTCGCTTGCTGGCTCGAACATATATACATTGTGCGGCAAGTAGATCCTCACTCCATTCGCGCAACAAAGCATGGACCTCATTCTGAAGAGCCTGCTCCCCGTATCGACGCAGCGTAGCACCAGCCGATTTGATGCGACTAAGATCGCAAACGCAGTTGCAAAAAATTCGAAAAGACTGTTAGTTGTCGGTGCTACACTTAACACGAGCCTCACCAAAAACCCGCGGCGTCTCCAAAACTTACTTGCCAGCTCCACGAGCCTGGTCCGCAGCAGCCTGGCTTCCGCCCTGCTTCCTCCTGGACGTGTATCGATGGAAGGTCTTATGCTTGACTAAAACACCATTGACATCCCACAAGCCCGCGCAAAAGTGGCCGCCTCCCGCCATGATGACGGCCCACGAGCCGCGCGTTGCCAAGCTAGCGATGGTCTCCTGATCGGGCAGGGCGGCGCGGTACAAGACGAGGAAGGAGTTGTCGACTTTGGGATCTCTGAACTCGATTTTCTCGGCGAGGCGCACGGTGGGCGCGGCTTCGGGGTTGCTCTCATCCGCCGAGTGCTCCGGCTCCGAGCCGGAGAGCGACTCGACGGAGCCCAAGTCTGAAAGGTCCTCGAACTGGGCCTCGGTGACGCCCTGGTGCCCGCGCAAACGGCGCTTGATGTTGTAGCGATGCCAGTCCGAGCGGAAGTGGTGGCGGAACGTGTCGACGGTGGCGAAGACTTGGTCGCAGGAGTGGCACGTGAGCGATTCGCTAACGGTGGCTTCCTCGACGGAAGGAAGCGTGGGTGTCGGTAGGTCGTCGACCGAGATGGACGCGGCGGATGCCGACGAGGCCGACTGCCAGTACGTGGGGGTGTAGTCGACGAGACGGCGACGGGCAGGCCGTTTGGCGGTGGATGGTTGAGAGGGAGGCATGAGGATAGGCGTGTCGCAGCGCCCTTGTATGTTCGGAGGCAGAGCGAAAAGGGATTACCGGTAGGTAGAGGGTGCGGTGCGCAAGGTTTATTGCGTAGCTGAAGGCAACGCCGCTTTTGCGTCGATGGGGAACCTCGGCGGGAACAGCTGTCGTGTCCAGCAATGCAGCAAAAACAATCATAAAAAAACGTGATATGCCACGTGTACACCACAAAATGATGCAAAAACGAACAAAAGGCCCGTCGCCCTGAGAAGGACACTCCGGTCCGAAGTTGTTTTGTCCTTTCAGCTCTAGCGCACCTTGGCAGGAGCGCTCCTTGACAAGGAGCGCTAAAGCTAAAAGGACGCACGCAAAGAGTCCTTGCTTCCGACTTTACAGCAACGGAGAGTTTGCAGATATCGCCACTCCTCTCACGCAAAGCTAGCGCAACACGCCGTGTGCATCATGAGGCGATTCGTCGCTAGCAACAAACCTCACTTCCGAGCTGGTACCCTTCAGGCGGTGTCCACCCCTTTTGCACAATGAACGCCCAGTTTCCATTCCAAGGGATAATGATCATCCCCTTATAGCTGGTGCGTTTCATCCCGTTGCGATGGTCGCCCATAACCCCGGTGCGCTTCGTGATAGGCTCCAAAAAGTCCTCGTGATACACCGCAATCACGTCTCTGTCCTGCGGCCTGGTCGTGAGATAGTTAGAATACTTGAGGTACACCGCCTTCGACATGCGCGAGAACACATAGTCGTGGTACCGCTCCGCCTCCAAGTACCCGAGGTCGAGCCCCGAAAAGTCCACCTTCTCGTCCGCGAGCGCCACTTGCGACACGTGCTTCTTGAAGTGGAACGACTGCGACACGCCCTTCTCCCCAAAGTTCGCCGTCCGGCTCATCTCCGGCCGGATGCATTGCCGCCCCTTCGTCTGGTCCGTGCTGCGCATCCAGTCATCCCAGAACATCTTGGGCCACTTGGGCCCAAGCTCCTCCCACAGCTCCCGCGTGAGCATCCACCCCAGCCCGGGGAAAAAGTCCGTCCGGTGCAGCTGCGTCGCATTCTGCGCCAGCGCTTGTATCCCGTTGTCGTTCCACGCCGACACGCAAAACAATGTCTCGTCTGTCTCCAACAATGGCGTCAACGCGTCGAAGTAGCTGAAGAAATCCGCTGCCACTTGCATGTCGTCTTCGACAATCACTACCCTCGGGAGTGCCGCATTCTCCCGGATTCCTCGCCCAAAAACTCGTGTTAGTGCCCATTCGTAGTGTCTGGATATCCGTCGGTAGGCTATAGTGTCAACGAAGGCCTTACCCTTTTCGACGTCGTTCTCGTAAGATAACGCATGGACCCATGGGTAAAGCCCTATACCGAGTGCATTCGCCTGGCGTGAAGCTTTCTCAACCACGTCTGCGACTTCGACGTGATCCTCGCCGTCCTGCCGGTCCATTGACACAATAATTGGCCACTCGCCGTTACGTGGGTGGGCTTTCAAAATAGATTCAAGGCACTTCGTAAGGTACTCAGAACGCGAATGCGTGATGACGAGGAGCGCGGTGGTTTCTGATTGCGGTTCTCTTGTTCGGTTTGGAATTGTTACTAGGCGGGCGTTGCTGAGTATTAGCACGATCACAATCGCAAATCGAGAAAACCAGCGAACATAGAAGCGCCATGTTCTAGACGTGTCTGTCAAGGAATGCTCTCTTGTTGGCTCATGCTTGGCCTCCGTCTTAGACCTGTCATTCTCAACCGGAGAAGCCCTGCGCTTTCGCAATTGATTCCGTTCACTCATCGGGCAACTACCAGCGGTTGATGACAAGCCGCCACAAACTGCCAGAACGAAAGCCAGTGGAGGCGACTGCTGTCGATGAAGACAGCAACCGTAAGCCGGGACAGTCCGCTGTGGGGATATGTTCACTGGGATTCCCCCGACTGGAGCAATGGGTATCAGCGAAGCCAAATAAAAGTCGGCGATTTGATTTGATGAATGTACAGTATGGAATAATCTACACGTGTACAAGTATCATCAGATTATTCCATACTTATACAGTGGTGCACATTGCTGTTCACAGCATGAGCTACTTCTTACTGGCTGTGCCTTTGATCTCCTGCCGCCCTCGGTAACACAGTTAACATTCATGTGGCCGTAAATAGTGAAGGCCGTTAAGCTTTGTCTGCAAAGACATCATGTTGATGCTCGTGCCCTGCATCCCATAAGTCCCCACGTCGAAACATGAAGGTTTACAGAGTGGCATGCATCGCCATCACCCAGATCAACTTTTGATACATAATTTCACCGTTCTACACACTTTATGCCCGCATGCTTAGTCTCAAATCATTGTGTTGAAAGGCAGAGAAGACATAAGTTTTAGCAAATTTGCACATCCAAAGCCAACGAGCTGCAAGCAAAAACCCCAAACGCACTTGCGATTATGCTTCATTGCATTAGTACACACAAGGACAGGAAGAACGGTCATGGGCAAAGCCCACAAGCCGTTCTTCATGAAAGCATCCAGAGCAGGACAATACACCTCTTCTCTGACGGTCATGTCGTTGAATCCCACTAGAGAATCTCTCTCCCCGCCCCCGGCTCATATTTTACACAATACTGTACCTATTTACAAGACCTAGAACTTGATGTCTGGGATATGTAGCAAACCACGGATTCGAGTACAATTTCTAGAAACGGATCTTCCGTCCGTTTTGGATCAGTAATCAATCGCCTTCAATACACCTTCTGTGCATCTTTGCTTTCCTGGTAAATAATTCTTCTCATGGATGAATGGGAATGGAAGGTCATATCCTGCAATTCTCTGAATAGGAGCTTTCAAGCTCAAGAAGCAATTCTCTTGTACAGCCGCAGAAATTTCTGAACCAAGTCCGCTAGTAACGGGAGCCTCATGGGCTATCAACAGCCGTCCTGTCTTCTGCACCGACTTCGATACAGTGTCAACATCCCACGGAAGTAGGGACTGCAAGTCCACAACTTCACAGGAAACCTGCAACTCCTTTTCGACTTGCTCTGCAACCTCCAGTAACACTCTAATTTGAGCTCCCCATCCAACCATGGTGACATCTCTTCCTTTTCGGACAACCTCGGCTTTTCCAAGGTCAATTTCATAGTCTCCTTCAGGTACCATACCAGTGCTGGCCCTGTACAGAACTTTGGGTTCCAGAAATATAACCGGGTCCTCTTCTCGAATTGAGGCAAGCAAAAGGCCTTTCGCCGTAAATGGATCTCTGCAAGTGACCACTCGCAAACCTGGAGTGTGGCAAAAATATGCTTCGGGGCTTTGACTGTGGTAGTGACCACCATGACCGACTGCTCCACACGGGGTGCGGACAGTCAATCCACCACAATTGAACATACCTCCCGAGCGGTACCGATACTTGGCAGCTTCATTGACGAGTTGATCGAAAGCAGGATAGATATAGTCTGCAAATTGAATTTCTGCAATGGCCGTTGTTCCGGAAGCGGCTAGACCGATTCCAAACCCTACAATTCCTTGCTCGCACAGAGGCGTATTGAAAATCCTCTCGGAGCCAAATTGAGCTTGCAGGTCTGAAGAACAGCGAAAAACTCCTCCAAAGGCCACGTCCTCTCCGAAAACTACCGCTGAGTCGTCGGTGGCAAGAGCAACTTGAAGAGCGGAATTTACTGCCGTGAAGAGGTTCATTTTCACAGCTGGATTTGGAGTTGTTTCTTCGATAGATTTTTCTTCTGCTGCCTGCGCTGCAAAGGAGAGGCTCCGGAATTGGCACCCTCTCAAAACTTGGTCGGTGTTACATCGCAGAGGAGAGACGACTCGGCGAATTGCAGAGGTAATGGAGTTCATCTTGCAGTCTTCTGGCGAATCTGCCAACAGAAAAGGATGGACGTGTGTGGCTGCGAACCCAGGGACTTGAGGTTGTCCGTTTGCCGGTCTCAAAAGGGTCGCTTTGTCTGTCAGTGGAGCTTGCCATTTTATAAGATTTGGCGTATTTCCTCTCGTGCAAGGCGAAAGCAGAGGTTTAGCTGGTCGACTGCGTCGTTCGCAATAGGCATGAGAGAATTTATGATATTTTTGGTGACTGGAGGCATGTGGAAGGAAAAAGTTTAGTTGATCCTGGCGTCGAAGTTAATTTGCGTTTGCCCACAAAAGTCACTTATTAACTTGATTGTTCGGGCGTCTCCACAAGTTTTAGAGAATTTGTGGCTGGGACATGACCTCATTTTGCCGACGAGAGCTTGATGATGGGCTTGCCGCCCATTGCCCTGTCAATTGTTGAACTACACAGTACGAGGCCAAGAAACAAGGTAAAATCACGTTGGAAAGATCGCCCTGCATGGGATACTTCCCAACCAATCGATTTGCAGACAGAAATGCACCGATAATAATCTGTCTTGTCTATTAGACTACTTCCACTTCTGAGAGCATCTCTACAATTTAACTGATTTTCTACTACATGTAAAGACAGGTTGTCTCACTGCTTCAGCACCTCATACCTGGGGATTATCATACCAAAGGCTTCATCTCGGCGCCCGTGATCTCTCTCAGGCCCCATCGGCGATGGTTCCTCTTTCGCAACCGGATAAGGGCGTCAAGTTCTCCTTTTGCCCTTCCCTTTAATTTTAAGCCCTCGCTTACGCGTCTTCTCTTCTGCGTGTTTCTCTTTCATGGACCGCGTCGCCTTCGTTGGCGCTGCTCATAGCGTCTCCCTTGCGTCACGATGGGCTGGCAATCGTGCATTTTCGCTCAGACGCGGCCGCCATTTCACAACCCTTCCGTCCTATCGCTCCACACTAACATGCTCGACTGCCTCCACGCATGCCGCAGCAGAGAAACCACGGAAAAAGAAGGGGAAGGCGGACCCCAGTCCATATTCTGCAACCGTCAATTTGCCTCAGACTGCATTCGAGCAACGCGCAAACGCCACTAAGCGAGAACCGCAGATTCAGAAGTTTTGGGAAGAGAATGCCGTCTATCAGCGTTTGTCAAGGGAGAACCCTGGCGATACTTTTGTTTTGCATGACGGACCACCTTTTGCGAACGGTCCGCTGCATTGTGGACATGCTCTCAATAAGATTTTGAAAGATTTTATCATCAAGCACAGCTTGATCAACGGGAAGAAGGCTGTCTTTGTCCCAGGATGGGACACCCATGGCTTACCCATTGAACTTAAAGTATTGCAAGGCATCAAGAGTAAGGAGAGAAAGAATCTGTCAACGTTAGGGCTAAGGCAGAAGGCGAGGGAATTTGCGAACACAACAGTTGCCAATCATATCACAGGTATGAAGAGATTTGGTGTCTGGGCTGACTGGGATAATCCTTATCTTACTATGAACCCTGAGTATGAGGCTGCACAGATTGACGTATTTGGGAAAATGTATGAGGCGGGCTATGTATTTCGGGGAAAGAAACCCGTGCACTGGTCTCCATCTAGTCGCACAGCTCTTGCTGAGGCCGAACTAGAGTATCCTGAAGGGCACACATCGCAAAGTTGCTACTGCGCTTTCACAGCTGTTTCTGCCCCTGCTGATGCGCCGAGTTTTTTGCGGGAAGTCGTTTCATCTCTTGGTGGGCTGGCGTTATCTGTGTGGACAACGACCCCCTGGACTATGCCGGCAAATAGAGCGGTCGCGGTCAATAACAAGCTCGAGTATGTTCTCGCGAAGGGACTGCATCCACAACTGCCAGAATTGACGGTTGTTATTGCAAAAGAGTTGCTCGAGACGGCGAGTGCGAAGTTTGGTACATCTGATATCGTTCAGGAGTTGGGCGTGTTGACTGGAAAGGATCTGCTGGGTGTGCAATATACACATCCATTGGAAGATGGGTTAGTCTGCAGAGTAGTTGAGGGTGGCGATTACATCACGACGGAAACAGGAACTGGTCTCGTTCATACAGCTCCAGGCCATGGGCAGGAGGATTACCAGACTGGGTTACGCGAAGATTTAGATTTGCATTCACCTGTTGACGACGCAGGAAAATTTACCGAGGAAGCCGCGAATGGGCGTTTTACAGGTCTTCCGGTGCTCGGTGATGGAAACAAAGCTGTTCTTGCAGAATTGTCAGAAAGATCAGTTTTGCTTCTCGAGGAAGCGTACGCACATAAGTATCCGTATGACTGGAGAACTAAGAAGCCTACAATTTTCCGTGCCACTGAGCAATGGTTCATTTCCATTGAAGGTTTCAGAGAATCAGTTTTGGAGGCCATCGAAAATGTAAACTGGTACCCTGCATCTGGTATTAAGCGGATTCGTGGCATGGTTGAAACTCGCGGCGACTGGTGCATATCGAGGCAGCGCTCTTGGGGCGTGCCCATTCCTGTGTTTTATGATGATGAGACCGGAGAGTCGTTTATGAACCAAGAAATTGTGAATCATGTGAAGGAGATCGTGAAAGAGCAAGGAACCGATGTATGGTGGGAGTTGGAAGCAGACGACCTTCTTCCAGAGGCGTACCGCGGCCGCAACCTGCGAAAGGGTAGAGATACAATGGACGTGTGGTTTGATTCTGGTTCATCGTGGGCTGCGGTTGCCAGCGCCAGGAATGAATTGGCATATCCAGCGGATATCTATTTGGAAGGTTCTGATCAACACCGAGGGTGGTTCCAGAGCTCCATACTAACATCTGTAGCGACAAAGCAACAAGCCCCTTATAAGAACGTACTAACTCACGGATTCGTTCTTGACGAAAAGGGTGTCAAGATGAGCAAGAGCATCGGGAATGTTGTTGATCCTCTGAGCGTCATCAACGGTGGGAACAACAAGAAAACGGACCCTGCGTATGGTTCAGATGTCCTTCGGTTATGGGTTTCTTCCGTGGACTACTCCGCAGATATCATGATAGGCCCATCAATTCTGCGACAGGTGGCCGATGTCTACAGAAAGCTAAGAAACACCTTGCGTTACATGGTCGGGAACATTCATGACTTCGTTCCTGCCGAGCATGCCGTCCCGTACAGTGAGCTACCGACGCTGGATAAATACATGCTTTCTAGGATGATGCAGCTTTCGGAGGAAGTTGGTCAAGCGTACGAATCGTTTGCCTTCTTCAAAGTGTACCAAGCGCTTCAGCGATTTGCAGTGGTCGATCTGTCCAATTTCTACTTGGACATCGCAAAGGATCGCTTGTATATTCCTGAACCGAACTCATTCCGGCGGAGGTCATGCCAGACGGTGCTGGCGGTTTTGCTGGAGAACTACTCTAGAGCACTGGCTCCGATTGTCTCTCACACAGCTGAGGACTTATGGCAAAGCATGCCGTATGTACCAACATCTACGAAAGCCGGAGTCGTCGATTCCAAGTCTGTGTTTGATGCCGGATGGTTCGAACGACGACCAGAATGGATTAATGTGGACGACTCGGTCATGAAGAATTGGGAAGTCGTGCTCGACGCCCGGGACGCTGTGAACAAGGTTTTGGAAGCCGCGCGTGTAGGGAAGACGCTAGGTGCCTCCATGGAAGCTTCAGTGAAGATCTACGCGGCCGACCCCGAAGATGCTCAGGCGCTACAATCACTGAGGAATTGCTCTAGCGACGTAGACAGTCTGGAACGTGCATTCATCGTTTCTGAAGTTGAGGTGGTATCGTCGCCTGACGAGATCGCCACGTGCGCGCACAGCAATGTCGAACAAGGAGAGAAAACCGGGGAGCGATTTAGAGTGGGAATGAACAAGTCGGGCGCTCCGAAGTGTGAACGGTGCTGGCATTACGACATGACCGTGGGGGACAGCCACGCGCATCCGGTGTTGTGTGGTAGGTGCACGAAGGCGGTTGTGAGCATGGGGATGGAGACGGCGCCTGTCGCTGCTGCTGTATAGTAGCTAGACATCGTTGCGTGGGATTGATTAAGTATGGAGCGTTGGGCGAATGCCCAATTCGCGACTGTGTGATGTGGGGAGGTGGGGGTGAATGCGTTGTTGACGAGAGTGAGGTAAAAAAGTTTTTGAGGGCTCGGAATACACGGCTGTAGGCGTTTACTTGCCTGGGGCTACTACCCCCGTGGCTCCGGTGGGCTCAATTAGCGCTAAGAAATCGGGTTGGAATCGGGACCGCGATCGCAGGGGTACGACGCAAACAAGCGGCGGCAGGCGATGTTAGCCATGTGTCATTGACAGGGAAAATGTGCGTTACAAATTGGGCGTTACTTACTCCTCTGGACAATCTTGCCGCCCTCCCATTCTCCCTTGATCATGGCAAAGCCGGCGCGGTCGAGGACCTTTGCGCGGATGGGCTCCTTGAGCGCCTGGCGCACGAGCTCCGCGCAGGTGTTGGAGTACTTGAGATAAGTCATGCCGGCAGCGCGCCAATACTGCACCATGTTACACACGAATCGGTTGAGACGGAGGAAATGTTGAGCGAGATGACAGGGCGGGGATGATGGACGGAAGGAGCGGGATGTATGGCACGCAGACGGAGTGCGCAGACGTCGCAGATCATCGCATTTTGCCACTGGTTCGTGCCACCCCACAAGTGATGCTCCCTTCACATGGAAGTGTAAGCCTGTGTAATTATAGGAGACTGTGAAAACGTGTACAGCTGGCAGGATAAGAAGTCTTTCGCAGAGGCTGCGCGTCAGCTTGCAGGTCAACGTTAAAAGACAAGTCGTCAGGTCGAAGGGCCCATCGTGAGGCAGACTTCCGCTGCATTGACCCTTTAGAAAGACTGGAGGGAAGAGAAGGAGATTGAGGGCCGCTCATTGTGTAGTTTTCTCGACCCCCCCGGTGTCAGTCTGGTGCTTTCTGCTTTTCATCCCAGTTTGCCCAAAGGAGTGCAACTCTCCCAACTGCGCCTGCTGCTCGGTCTTGTCAACCTTCCTCGTTCGTTGCTGAAGCACTGCCGATGAATCTTTTCGTTCTTATCTCGTACCACACATTTCAAAAAACGGTCATCGACATCCTCCTCATCTTCCCTAGCTTACCCTGACTCTCAACGACCTGCTTCCAGTCCTGCAACATCCCTTAAAATGAAGCCCATCCGTCGCGTCCCTCGCGAAAACGGTCTTCCGACCAACACGCGCCACCGGACGTCCCTCTCAAAGCTGCAGCGTCAGTTGCGCCGACGCACCCGCTTGTTCACCACCCAACGACACTTCCCTTTCCTCCTCGCCTTTCTCACAGCTGCGCTTCTAATTTTCCTAACTCTCTACCGCATCTCCAACCGCTCTCATTCGTCAAAACCCCGCTCCGATGAGCTCATCTGGCGCGTGGGCGTATCCCGCATCGACATCACCCCCGTTGACCGCGTCTGGCTGAGCGGCTTTGCGTCGCGAAACCGCACCGCTGACAGCGCCACGCCCCTCGACCCGAGCCTCCCCCTCTACGCCCGTGTCTTTTCCGTTCGTCCGCGCACTTTCGCTGACGCAGGCGGCGCCCCGCTCGTCATCGTCGCGCTGGACGTCATCGGCTTCGGGCGCAATTTTTCAGACCGCGTGCGCGCCGCCGCCGCCAGGATGCACGGCTTCCCGCGGGAAAACTTGCGCATCGTGGCAAGCCATACGCATTCCGGCCCGGTGGTAGGGCGCAATCTCGCCCCGCTCGTCCCGGATGACCCTGCGGAATGGGCGAAGATCGAAAAGTACGCTGACTTTCTGCTGCAGAGGCTCGTCGCGGCGATCGGCGCTGCGTTGCGAGAAAGGAGCTTGGTGCTTGCGGCAGGACGGTTTGCAAGAGGGAAGGCTGATTTGGCGGTGAATAGGAGGCAGGTGAAAGAGGATGAATTTGATGGGTGGCAGCGTGGTGACACTGATGACGAGGTACCGGTTATGTGGTTTTTGAAAGAGAGTGGAGATGTTGTGGTAGGGCTCTACGGATATGCGGCACATGCAACTGTGCTGACATACGCTTTCCGGTATTCAGGGGACTATCCTTCGCATACAAGCGACGTTTTGGAACGCCGCTATCCTGGATCGCGATGGCTGTTTCTGCCGGGTTGCGGTGGAGATCAAAACATTTACCCTCGTGGTGGTATCGATGAAGCTAGGGATTCTGGGTTGAGTTTGGCAAACGCCGTAACCAGCGCAATGGGGTCTTCGATTACCAGGCTGCAACAGGCGACACTCAAAGTGCAGAGTAGTACTGTTTTGCTGCCATTTGAAAAGAGGCGTGATAGGAAAGAACTGCGTCGCTTGCAGCGTTCAGCGCGCCTCCTGGACCGAAGAGCTGCAAGTGAGTTGTTGCAAAACGTGCCTAGTGGAGGACAGACCAGGGAATCTTACGATTTTCCGATCGCTTCGGTTACGGTTGGTGATACAAGGGTTGCCTTTCTGGGCGGGGAACCCACGGTTGGATTCTGCAAGACTATGCGTAACCAGAGCTCAGATTGGGTAGTTGGATACTGTGATGACGTGATGGGATATCTCGCTACGGATGAGGCCAGGAAAGAAGGCGGGAGAGAGGGCGGCGAACGTGCAGCGCTGTACTACGGGCTACCGGCGGCATGGAAACTGGGTTCTGACCAGACGATTTTTGACGCCATGAAAGATTTGCAGAGGACATAGGAGGCAAGCTGTACCTCTTCGACATGACTGACTTGGTACAGCTCATCGACAGCAGATACAGTTTCGCATGGACACTCAACTGAGTGTCCATGCGACACTGGTTTGGACTCATCTCGACTGAGTAGATGGCCTTTAGAAACAGGAAAAGCGTGGACAGAAAGGATATGTGCCTCTGCAGCCAGGGAACAGGACTTGCTTAAGTTAGTACTATTGCCGCCTCCTGGAATGGAAAAGGGTTGCCAATCTCGCAAAATGCATTGTCTAAGCACTAGTCAGTCTTTCAAAGCCCTGCTCCAGGTCAGCAATGAGGTCAGCAATGTCCTCGAGCCCGACGTGGATACGCATGGTCTGGCCATATCCATCGCCATACTTCCACTGTTCTACAGTGCGACACGAGTTAATATTATTCTGGATGAGCAGGCTTTCAAAGCCACCCCACGAAAACCCCATGGCATGCAGCTTCATGCCATCAAGCATGGCATCCACAGCCTTTTGTGAAAAGCCGGCTTTTAACTGGAAGCCAAACAAGCCAGCCGAGCCCTTGAACTGTTTCTTGAAGAGGTGATGTTGGGGGTGGCTCTCCAGACCAGGATGCATGACGCGGATGATCTCCGGGCGCTGCTCGAGCCACTTTGCGATCTTTAAGCCACTCTCGCCGTGCTGCCTGAGGCGGACACCAAGCGTTCGAAGGCCGCGCAAAGCCAGGTAGGCGTCGTCTGTCCCTGGGGGGCAGCCTAGCTCCGCAACGGATTTCTTGATGGCCCTATACGTCTCGGGGTCCTTGGCGGCAACAATGCCCATCATGAGGTCTGAGTGGCCGGCAATGTACTTTGTGGCGGCATTGATGGAGACATCACATCCATTGTCGAATGGAGCGAAGAGGGTGGGCCCATAAGTGTTGTCAATAAGGACCTTGAGCCCCCGCGCATGGGCTTTCTCCGCGATGGCCGGGACGTCCATGACCTCAAAGCTGAGGCTAGCCGGGCTCTCGACTAGGACGAGGGTGGTGTTATCGCGAATGAGGGTGGCAAAGTGGTCGGGCGACACACACGGTGAGAAATAGGTAGTGAACACCCCAAACCTTTTCAGAAAGAGGTCGCAAAAGGCTCGCGAGGGCTCGTACACGGCATCGGTCATGAGTATATGGTCGCCCGCTTTGACAAAGGCCAGTATGGCGGCGTTGACGGCGGCGACGCCCGATGCGGTGAGGCAGGCGTTGTCCGCGCCCTCCAGGGCGGCGAAGGCCTCCTCCAGGGCGAACGTGGTGGGGTTGCCGTGGCGGCCGTACCACATGCCGGTGAACGGCCAGTCGGACGAGGCGAAGCGCAGCGCGGCGACGTTGGGGAAGACGACCGTGGACGAGTGGTAGACCGGCGGGTTGACGACGGAGCGCTTCAGCGGGTCGGTGGTCCACTCGTCGCGGTGCACGCCCCCGTGTACGAGCTTGGTGTCCATGCGCACCGGGCCCACCTCGAGGTTCTTGCCCGACGTGCGCAGCGACGAGTGCAACGCCGCGTCCGGCGCGTGG